AATTTAAGTTTTGTTTTGTAAAGTAAAGCTGTGTTGTGCGAAATTGAAGTTTTGTTTTGTAAGTTAAATTTGTGTTTCGAGCAACAAAGTCTGTGTTACGGAAAATAAAACATGATGTGACGCCTTGCGTAGGACCAATGGATCGTAGCCGCAGGCGTCAGTGAACTTTGCTGAGTCATGACTAGCCTGGAACCCGTGCTGCCATAGCAAAGTTATTCGATGATTGGCAGCACCCAGTCACGACCTCTAACACATTCTAAAATGGGGTTTCTACAGACGGCGTTGATAGTTGCATGTACTGCGATTGCCGTTCAGTTTATTCCGTATTTATTGGTAAAACGTTTACCAGTACTTACTAGCGGAAGTGTAGAACCAGGATTTGAAGAAGTTGAACAAGTGTTCAGGTGGGTGTGTTCATTTTAGTCAGTTGACGTCCGGTTGACTCCTGACTCGATCATCTGCTGTGTTTTGCGGTGAATTTGGGACCCTTTTGGTGGCACATATGCATATAGCACTTCAATATGAGTACCCTTCGCCCCGCGCTTGTTATTCAAAAAACGTCCCGAGCGCCATGCGTAGGACTAATGGGTCGTAGCCAATATGTCTTGCAGGTGTCAGTGAACTTTGCTGAGTCACGACTAGTCTGAACCCATGCTACCACAACAAAGTCACTCATATAATGATTGGCAGCACCCAGTAACGACCTCTAACACGGCAGCAACAAAACGCAGGTTACAGGTCAGGTTACAGGTTGTCGATCAATACAATTTTTCTCAATATTTAATCTTCTTCACGATTTTGTTTAATAACAACAACCCGTGTTTAATATTTTAGACGAGACGTTCGTCCCCGCGTTCGTCTACGACAGCAGTGTAAGATGGCGGTCTCAGAAGATTTTCCTGTGACGTCGAGCGAGGCTGTCTGAGTTCGGCTTAAACGACCATCGCTTTCGACGACGAGGACGACCCGGGATCGTGACCGCTGTTATTAAAAAAATCGTGAAAAAGATTAAATATTGAGAAAAATGTTATTGATCGACAACCTGTAACCTGACCTGCAACCTTGTTCTGTTGCTGCCGCCTCTAACACATTCTAAAATGGGGTTTCTACAGACGGCGTTAATAGTTGCATGTACTGCGATTGCCGTTCAGCTTATCGGAATAAGCTGTACCCGTATTTATTGGTAAAACGTTTACCAGTACTTACTAGCGGAAGTGTAGAACCAGGATTTGAAGAAATTGAACAAGCGTTCAGGCGAGTTTGTTCATTTTGGTCAGTTGACGTCCGGTTGACTCCGGACTCGATCATCTGCTATGTGTTTTGCTGCAAGGGTATAACCCTATGTACTTTGTCCCCGGACATTGTCTACATGTACTACAAGGAGTGCATTGTTCGTGTGGTTTGGAAAAATTGAGACAACATTTTTTTCAAGAAATGACAAACTGCATACAATGTTTATAGTTGAAGGTCGGTTGTCGTCACGCAGTGCGCGTTTGAATTTTTGGCGGTGGTCGTCACGCGGTGCGCGTTAGAATGTTATGCGTTGGTCGTCACGCAGTGTGCGTTCGAATTTTAGGCGGTCGTCGCCACGCAGTGCGTGCGGTGGTCGTCACGCGGTGCGCGTTCGAATTTTACGCGGTGGTCGTCACGCAGTGTGCGTTAGAATTTGATGCGGTGGTCGTCACGCATTGCGCGTTTGAATTTCATGTAAAAACTTACCTGGTTCACAGATTAGAAATACGCCGTTGTTGGGCAGGTGTTCACATTGGCTCTACAACAGTGTATTTCGTTTGCGATCACACATCATTAAAAACGCTGGTGTAATTGTATATTAAGCCTGTGTAGCACCCCCTCTATAGTTAGATCCGTGTTTGAACATATTTGTACCCTATCACTAAGGTTATTATTTTCAATTGCTTCCTTGAATCTTGACTTCAAAGGTTTTACTTTTTGACGGCACAGTTCTGCGAATTAATCTCACCCCAATTGCTTGTCTTTTTTGCAATAATCCTGTAACCCTATAAAAACCTGTAAAAATACTTTCCTCTTGCCAAATAGAAATCAGTAGCAGGACTTCATTATTATTCAATCATTCCCTAGACTACTCATTCCACTGACCAGAGTGGTACGTGTATCACTCGTTGCTATGTTCAGAATTTAGGTCTGAGCTTGGACTCTGGTCAGGAAGTTTACGCAAGTGTAAAATTTGCCATCCAGCGTAAACTGGTCATACGGTAAGAATAACACTGTCGTTAAATTTACGGCGGTGTAAATGCAGGTGCGGATACCGGATTTTTGTTTGTAATAACAATTTAGTGCTAAGAACAACAGACGCATGCACATGGCTTGTATTCAAAATGACCACTTTTTTTGTTTTTGATTCAATAAATATGGCTGACTGTCGGCTATTTACTAGGCCTAAATTCTAGTACATGTTCACAAAATTTTCCTGATAATGTTTGACTGATTTAAATTTAATTTGTTATGATGACAATTATATGCATATATTGGCTTGCAAGTACCCATCATTATTTTTTCACTATTTCCCTATCTGTTTCACTTAATTGGCATACACCACAATGTTAACCAAAACTGCATTACTATACAAATACCAAAAACAGTTTGTTTTTTGTTTTTTATTTTAACAGAAGTCTTCATGAACAAGGCTTGGAAGCAGGATCAGCATTTGCGGTGTACTACAAAGGTCAGAAAATTGTTGACCTATGGGGTGGATATGCAAATTATGACGAAGAAGACCCATGGCTCGAGGAGACTATGTCAATGGTGTACTCCTCCACAAAAGGCGTTTCAGCAATCTGTATTGCTGTTGCAGTGGAGCATGGATACTTAGATTATGATCAGAAAATCTCTCACTATTGGCCGGAATTTGCACAGAATGGGAAAGAGAACATAACTATAAAGCAACTAGTTAATCATGAGGTAAAAATATAATGATATAGCATAGTTGTTGTTTCTTTGAGGTTCATTGGATTTAAAGTCAGCGTCTTTTAATTTCTACAGATAACAATACTGTTATCTCATTATGTACCAGCTATAGATCTGATGAACACCTGTCACCATGCATCCAGCAATGAATGACAACTTCTTGAAAATCTCTGGATGGTTTGATTTGGATTTTAACTGCCTTGACGAGTTGGTGTAGTGTCAATTTGTTCATGAGAAATAAACTGCCCTACTCACACTCATTGCTGAATAGTGTTGATATTTATAGTACAAACATTGCTTGTGATATCTCTATCTGATTTCGTCATTTTTTTTACCGTAGTTTTGCCAATTTCTTGGAAACTGCATCCAATTTTATTAGTGTTTGATATATTAGTGCCTTTATGGGTGAACCTCTTCGACTGATACACAAAATCATCAATACATACATAGAAGAATTTCAAAAATCTTTTAGTGGTTTATAGACTGCTACCTGTTTAATTTACTGTTGCTTAGTTACTACATTTCAATAACTAACAGTTTGTTTTAGTTTGTTATTTGAATCACTCTCAAAATAGTTCATTTAATGATCTTACTTTGTATTATGTTATTTAGTTTAGCCAAAACCAATATAATTTTAAAATTCTTACAAATATTTTGTGAACAACTTTTGCACCATTATCCTATTTCATATTATTATACATCTGTCACCGTAACGCGATAAGTTACAGCGTGCCGTAATTTTGCGGTATTTTATGGGGTATTTTCATACTACCATATTTGGAAATGCGAATTCCAAATATGGAA